GAGTATACCTATTTAATTATAATTCTATCTGTTTGGTTATTTGATTATCTGTTCGTGTTTTTATGTTTAAACTGCTAATTGACGGCCTTATCGGCAGTCGAACCGGAAATCGTTTGGTGTTTTATGATCATCGTAATTTATGTGATTTTATGGTATATTTAATTGAAGTGTGATTTGGTATGATTAAATTAGATTAAAATGAATTAAATTGCATAGTTGGCCTTATTTACCTCCTTGCCCTTGGTGGGCCACTACCTAGGACATATTGAAGCTTCATTACACCTAAACACAACATTTGCTCAGCCATTAGAGAGACAAACCGACTGAGAAAGAAAGAGTTAGGAGATTGAATTGTTCTTGAGGGTTTTGCTTGGAAGCTTGAAGAATTGTAGAAGAGATTGCATATTTGAGCTCCCTTCTTGGACTACAAGACTTAGGTATGAGAATTTAACCTTCTATTAATGTATTTGAACTTGTTCATGCTTAGTTCTTGAGCCTCTAGTGATTTGAGCCTTGAATTGGTCCATGTATGTTGAATTGGAGCCTAGTTCATGCATGCATGCCTTTATTTTGAACTCTTGATGTTGTCTTTCATAAAATTGTACATGCATGCTCATATTTTTATAAAAGACCATGAACTCATCATGTTTTTGAAAGATTTGGCTCCCTAGAGCATGAAATTGAAGTTTTGAATTGGTTTGAATTCATGCATGTTTGCATGTTCTTCATATTTATGGAAAGTGGTTTGAATTGGATTTATTTGAAACACCCTTGGGCTTTGATTTTACAAATTGAGTTTTGAATCATGTTAAAGTATGAGTTTTGATGTGTTTTCTGGAAAATTGGCCCAAGGGGATCGAAATTTTTGGTTTAAAACTTGGTTTTGAGCTTGAGGTTCAAATCTGGAATTTCCAGAATTTGGACTTACGCTCGAGCGGGGTGACTGGCGCTCGAGCGTGGAAATCGTGCTCCCAGCATTTTGTTCTGTTTTGAAGTCTGCTCGAGCGGAAGAATTGACGCTCGAGCGGGACATTGTGTCTCATGCTCGAGCGGGTGTCGAGCGCCCAATTGAGCGTGATTTTCGCCTATCCAGCACTTTTGACTTTTTTACAGAATGCTCGAGCGGGTAAGTCTACGCTCGAGCGGAAACCTTTGTCTGCATGTCCGCTCGGGCGGAGTAACCTACGCTCGAACGTGACCCCTGTTTTTTCGAAAATTCTGAAAATGCTTTTTCAAGTGCATCTTTACATCCTCATCTCATCCTAGGCATTATTAGGCCTAGTTTAAGGCATCTTAACGAGGATATAGAATGTAGAACCACCACGACGAGGCAAATTGAGAGATTAAGTTATTATGCTTTCCCAACTGTGTAGCTTAGTGTGTGTTCGCTCTAGCTTACTGTAGCCCAGAACTCTGTGAGTAATATCTGTGTAAAGATATGTTCAAAATGATTATCTTCTGAATAATTGAACTGTATTGTTTTCTGAACTGATACTGTTAATTGAATGAATGTATGTCCTAAATTCTGAACTGTATTGTGGCATCCTTAGCACCTACTGTTTATTGTTACTGTTACAGAGATCACTGTCGGTTCCCTCGTTGGAACCACTACTGTTACTGGTTGATGGCCATCATTTACTGCTTGGTCTTTTAAGACCTACTGTTTACTGTACTGTTATGCTAATGGATGTACCACATATGACTGTACTGACTGAACGACTGAAATACTGATTTAATGGACTGTTTTTATTACTGTAAGGACATTCATTCTTAACCCCTTTACGCATTGTGTTATTCACTGGGCTTTAGCTCACTGCTCATATATATATGTAGGTGTACAGGCACCAGACCGCAGCTAGAAGCGTCGGGGTAAACTCCAGTTTTGTCGAGCCAACCTACGTGCCTCAATGCGAGGTTCCGAGCCTGTCAAGTTACGGCTTAGGGGTGTTTTTAATTTCCCCGTCTGTCTCTGTATCTGATTTGTACGACTGTATAGACTGTACTGTACTGAATGATTGTATATATGTATATACTGTTTTGTCTGACTGTGCATATTTGAATGAGAAGTCCTTTTTGCATACAGACTGTCACAGCTCATTGGACGTTGTTTATTTACTGTATTGGCTTCCGCCAGCCCCTGTACTCTATATTACTGTATTACTGTTAAGCAGGGCTTCGGTAATCTCGGATTACTGGCCGGTTACGGTGCTAAACCCATAGGGGCTGGTTTGGGTCATGACATCTTGTTTCTGAATGATGGTTCCAGGAAGTTCACTTATTTATGTGATATAACTTAAAACCAAAGACATGCAAACTCAGGTACGTGGCAATGAACACATGCTTATTTCTTGTGTTTTCTCATATATAGCCTTCCCACCCGGTAACACAAATAAGTCAGCATACATAGAGAATGATAGAAAGGTAAGGAAAGATTAAAAGATTGCCAAAGAAACAGAATTCACAAAAGAAAATTGGTGTTTTGAGGGATGCCTTTAGTTTTCAATGGTGAGTAACTTGTCAACCAAAATGAAACAATTATATTCAATCAAACTTTTTTACAAGCACTTGGAGTGCATCTTACAAACCCAGATTTCAACCTAAATACTAATTACATCATACAACCCGAAATTCACACCAACTCTATTCAATGAGTCATTTTTATAAGCACTTGTAATAAATCTTACAACCCATATTTCAAAACAAATATTTGTTATTATTTGTTACCAAAATCAAGGTAACAATAAATCCGAAAAAAACCCGCAAAACACATAATCATCATCGCCCTCTACTTCGTTTTCCAAACCGCCCTCTTCATCGCCATCGATCTCACTATTTTATGCCCCAAAACCCCCAAATTCTGGCTAAGCTCTGCCACAATCAACAATCTCACCACCACTTTACCCTTATTCGAAATCTGATTTGCCGCCATTTACGCCCTGAAGAACTCGAATCACGGCCCCTTCAAGTTCTATGACACCTATATTACATTATCGTATAAGGGAAAACGAATCGAAGAGAGTCGAATCCGTGAATTGAGAGCTAATGCTTTGTCGATGAAAGATGTGAGCTTGAAGTTGAATGCATTTCTTATTGTTCTTCATCTGAGTCTATTTTGAATTTGGGTTTGGATATTGGTTTAGGTTAGTGAGTAAACAAATGTTTGAGAGGAAGAAGAAGGGCCAAAAAAAAAAAAACCTAAAAAACGACGTCGTTTTGGAGTATGGTAGGAGACACTGCAAGAAACAATGGCACAGGATCCGGACTCAAGTTGTCGCATCACTCTCTTTACTTTTCTGCATATCTTTTCGTAAAAAGTCAAAAATTACTAAAATAGCCTATCGCCAAACCAAGCTTCATTTAATATCGATTTGATGATACGGTTGGAACACCGTTTAACCAATTTTTTTTTATCAAATTTAAATTTGATGAAACATTTGATGAGAGATTAGAGATGGCCTTAACTCAATGAACATATTTTGATGCATGAGCCTTAAAAATTATCAAAATAATTAATAGCCCAAATACAATAACCAAGAACATTTTTAAATCTTTATTTATTTTTATATTAAATTTAAATTTGATAAAATAAAGTATTCAAATTTCATTCAATAAGGTTTAAAGGAAGAATCATTTTTTTCATCAAATTAAAAATTTATATAATCAGAATTTGATAAAAATCAAATTAAAAAAAATATGAAGCATCAGAAAAATTTTCATCAAATTTAATGAAAAGTGAAATTTGAAATATGAGAGATTTTTTTTTAAAAGAAATTTGTTGAAAAGGTCGGAGCACTTCATAGAAATCAATTTTTTTACTCAATTAAAACTAGAGAAAACTTTTTGATGAAAGATTAGAGATACTCTAACTTTAATAACACAGCTCATATCTAAACAAAAATATCATATTCACAACCATCTCGTAGTTTTTTTTGGTTTAGTTTGGAAATGTTTGTAAATATTCATGACATTTTTTGTGATATTTTTGTTATAAACCAATTTAATTTTTATTATATATTAGCTTGAGTTGATTAAAATCTCAAAATCAAATTGGTCCATAATAAAAAATATGTTAGTTCATAACAAAATGTGGTGATTGTAAAGATAGTTTCAATTTGCTTTTATTTTGAATTGATTTCTGCAAGATTTGACCAAAGTTAAAAATGATATATAAAGCTATTTTCTAAACTCAATGATATATTTGATGATTAAAAAATATACGATAGAGAGTGTTACCTTAGATATTAGGGTAAATTTTATTATTATCCATTAAGTATTGTTGATAAATTTATTAATCTCTTTTATTTTTATAAATAAATTTACAATGATAAATTTATTAGTCATGACCTATACTTAAATAAGTCTAATTAGATATTATAATTGATTATCACATAATTAGATTTGAAAGCGGGTCTATTTTTTGAACTTGGATAATAATTCTCATAAAGTTAGCAACATTTCAAAGAAAAAGAAGGTTGTAGTGTAATTACAAAAGTATAAAGGGGTGTCAATGTAATTTACAAAAAAAAAAAAGGGTTAGTTTAATCCAAATAAAAAGGAAAACAAATCAATCAAAAAGATTGAATAACACATTGTTCCCAAAAAAAGAAAAAAAGAAAAAAAGAAAACAACACCACACACAACCGCCACCCCACCCTTACACCAATTCCAATCAGAAATAGTTGATCGAAAAACATATCAACCTTCTTCCTCACCTCTCTCGATCTCTCTCCCTCTCTCCTCTTACTTGGGCGGTACGAGAGAGCAAACCAATTTAAAACCCTCTCTCTCCTCCACCGCCACACACAACACAACACAACACAACATAACTCTAGGGTTTGTACCGATCTCTGCAACTCTAAATTCCACTACTAACTCTCTCTCTCTCTACACATCGGTCCTGAGATCTTCCATGGCCGACGAACCAGTAGACTCGGCTCATCCCTCTTGTCCTGCTCAGTCTTCAAATGCTGCTTCGCTTGGTGGCTCTTTGATCCCAATAGTCAACAAGCTTCAGGACATCTTTGCTCAGCTTGGAAGCCAATCCACGATCGAGCTCCCTCAGGTGGCCGTCGTTGGCAGCCAAAGCAGCGGCAAATCGAGCGTCCTCGAAGCTCTCGTGGGCCGCGATTTTCTTCCCAGGGGTCCCGAAATCTGTACTCGGCGGCCGCTCGTGCTTCAGTTGTTGCAGACCAAGCGGAAGCCTGATGGCACTGACGAGGAGTACGGGGAGTTCTTGCACTTGCCCGGGAAGAGGTTCTTCGATTTCAATGAAATTCGGTGGGAGATTCAGGTATTAGGGTTTGTGTATTTGTTTTATTGTATTGTTTATTATGAAGATTGAGTTTTTACACGAGCAAGGCTAGTACTACTGTTTAGCCTAGTAGGGTTTGGTCTGGTCCTGGTTGTTTGAAGACTGAAATAATATGGAACATAGGTTTGAAGATTAGGGACCAAATTGTGAGGTCTTATTATTATTATTGTTTTCCCCTGTTTTCTTATGAACATTGGTGGATATTGATCGAAAAGGAAATTGGAACCCTTTTATTTTATGCAATTGCAGTGTCAAAACCCAGATTTTACTGATGAAGAATTTGTGCCTTGCTTGATGAATGAGGGTAGTAGGTTCATTGTATTCCACAATGTGTGGTGTCTAGGACTCTAGAAAATCATTCAACGTTTTGTTTGGTTGGAGGATTTGTGAAGGGAAAGGGGAAAGGAGTGTGAAATTAGGTAAAATGTAATTATATTTTATTCATATTTCATCTATATTTTTCATTTTTCTTTCCAAATCCCTTCTCAAATTCCTCAACCAAACACGTAAGTATTTTTTTGAAAAGTTAAGAATTCTTGTATCCAATGTAATGAGACTATTGTGCCAGCACAAGAATTTAGTGGTCTTTGATCTTTGAATGGTTAAAAGGAGCCTTAAGTTATGAAGTGAGCTGAAATATGTTTATCTGTATTCATCAGAGTGGTGCTTGTATTTTATGCTTTAAAGTTGGTCTTATTATAGTTTATCACCAAGGAATTAAGGGGTTTTGTTTTGCATTTTTAGTCAAGAATGCATTATTGCTAAAAATAAGGCCTCCGTTGCCCGCCCCATGTGATTGAAGCTATCTCAAACCCCGCAATTTTCCTGACAATGGAAAGGGACGGACTCATGATTCTATAATCTGTGGTGAACATATACACTAGCAAATTTTTTGAAAAGAAAATATTGACTATAACATCAATTTATACCAACATAAAAAGTAAAAAAATAGCATCAAACATATATCAATGAACATACTTTCTTGGATCCACATTAAGTTACAAATGCATATTGTTTTCTTATATTAAAGGTATCTATGGTGGATTTTTTTTTTTTAAACTCTATGCACTCATTTTTATTGAGGAATTTAAGTGATTGTTGACTTGTTGGACCTAATCACCTAAAGAACAATCAAATATTGTGAAACTTTAAATTTTATCTTTTGTCAAGAAATGTTATATGGAGTATTAAAAAATTATGAGCTTGTTTGGTTTGTTTTTCAGAAAAAAATTTGGGAAAAATTCTCTACAAACAAATTTTCAAGAATAATCAAACCAAACAAATTTTTTCAAAAAAAATCTCAAAATTTTGTTTGGTTACCTACTTTCCAAAATCACTCTTTCTAAAAATATCAATCACTTTTTTAAAAACTCTCTCTCCAAAATAATTTTCCAAAACCATTTTTGAAAAAAGGCAAACCAAACAAGTTTTCGTACATTTTATCTCAAAAACTACTTTACAAACACAAACCAAACACACCCTATATCTTTTGTCAAGAAATGTTATATGGAGTATCATATAATGTATCATGAGTATGTATATATATATATATATAAAGAGATAAACGTAGAAGTGTATAATATTTGAATACCTCTAATTAAAAGACAAAACTATGCTTGACTATTCTATTTTATTTCTTCAAGTATACTCCCAGTGCGACTTGTGATACGCTCTAGTGAACCAAGTTACGAAATAGCAATATAGAGCATTATATTTTGCATAGATACAGTAACTGTAAACAGGGGGTCAAGCCCTGCCAATTACTTATTTGGTTTGTCGCTTATGTGAGATGGAATTGAGAATATGATTATTTTTTAATTTCCAACTCTGGGTTTGATTGGATTGAACTGACTAAATGTCTCGTGGTCTAGTTTGTACCAATTCAAACTTGTGGTCCAGTTTGTACATATTCTCTATTATATATATGGGACCTAATGTGACAATTTATTCAAATATAATTAAAAGCATCTGTGATTATGTATTAATTGGCGAGCTTGGGTTTACATTAATATAGAGGAGGCGACGACTTAAATTTTACAAAAAAAAAAAAACTAGAGGGGGTGAGCCTACGTGGTATAGAGATACTTTATAGCCAATACTAGTGTAGTAAGGGTTGTTTTTAAAATCATAGGGGTGGTGATCGCCTTTACTTACCACCCCATAGGTCCATCCCTAAACCATGGCGTAGTAAGGGTTGTTTTTAAAATCATAGGGGTGGTGATCGCCTTTACTTACCACCCCATAGGTCCATCCCTAAACCATGGCATTCTCACCGTTAACATTGGTACCATTGCAATTGTTACAAACCAATTTTTTCTGTCTCGTTGCTTATTTTCACTTTTTGCAAAGAGAATCAGTATAAATATATTGGCACTGATAAACTTAGGCCAAGTTTGGCATGTGTCCAAAAAGTCAAAAAGTTACTCAAAAAGTTAAAAAGTTATCACTATTCACCAAAAGTCAAAAAGTACGGCTGCACAACTCCCAATCCTAATTTTCCCATACACACTAATTTATACAATTTTTTAATACACATTTTTTCGTAAAAAGTCAAAAAGTTAACCTAAACAACCATATTTTTTTCTTCAACTTTTTAGTCCAAAAAGTTAAAAAGTGCACTTATTTAGGACATCCAAACAACCCCTTAGATTGACAGCTGGAAGTACATGAGTTGCTGAGCATAGAAAGGTGCTATTTACTCCCTGGGCTTTGATGGTATTTTAGTCAGTTATCCTCTACACTTTGGTTGTCTATAATCAATGGAGAGAAGTGAAAGTTGAGTAAATTCTGGAGCTTTTTCCTTCAGAGAAGACTGGATCTTTTACAGTCAATTTTAAGAAATAATGGAAGTCCTTTGTAACTAGAGCTGTAAACGCAGAATGTTAAAGTCAGAGCAAGGGAAGCAAATAAACATAAATTGTTTCTGTTTATTAGTTCTGACCAAGTGACTCTAATTGTTTCAAACTTTCAATTGTCACAGAAGTGATGACTATCTTTACGGCAGTATTAACAACTTCAACATCGTTTTTCCCATGCTGCGTTTTATGATTATTTGGAGGTTCTTACTGGTTTGTATGAGTTAAACCGGTAGGAAGCTTTTTATGAAAATGTTGGTAGCATCAGGAGAATGTTTTCTACCCTCAATTCTAAACTTATTATTTAATGTTGTTGACAGTTCCTATGTGTAGTTACTCTTTTCACCTCTTAATTATCTGCATATACTTTAGGCTGAGACCGAGAGGGAAGCAGGAGAAAACAAAGGTGTTTCTGACAAACAGATTCGTTTGAAGATTTTTTCACCAAATGTTCTTGATATCACACTGGTGGATTTGCCTGGTATTACAAAGGTTCCTGTTGGTGACCAACCTTCTGACATTGAAGCACGAATTAGAACAATGATAATGTCATATATTAAACTCCCAAGCTGTTTAATATTAGCTGTAACGCCAGCAAATTCTGATTTGGCAAATTCAGATGCTCTCCAGATAGCTGGAAATGCCGATCCTGATGGTAAGTTCTGCTGCTTATATATCTGTTGTTCCAGATCAATTTTTGTGAACAAGCAGAATACTAAACTGTATTATGATGGGATGTCCATTTAACCCTGTTGCTTATGCATGACTCTATGTTGGCAGGTTATCGAACGATTGGTGTAATCACAAAGGTGCAAATAAATTAATATGAATATTTCATCCATAAATTAGTTTATTTCATTCATATAAATTACGTTTATAATGTTTGATGGATGTTTTAATTCTGATGTGAATTCATGTTATTCTTTTATTATTATTTTTTTTGGTTTCTTTAGTTGGATATAATGGACAGAGGTACAGATGCCCGCAATTTTTTGCTAGGAAAAGTAATTCCTCTTCGGCTTGGTTATGTAGGCGTAGTGAATCGTAGTCAGGAGGTAATCCCTTTAACTTCGAAACCATTGAAAATTTTCAATATTTTCTAATGATATGTGTGTGTTGTGTGTGATCATATTAGTTTTACAGTTCTTCCTCTAGCGATCTCCTGCAACTTGTTTGGATCTCTCTTTTGCTTTTACTTGCTCTTACAAATTTTACTTATATGAAAAGTATGTTTCTCTTGTGATACCATATTTAGGTGTGCCATGGTTTATATGTATATAAATCCTACTTCCTTTGATTTTGCACTCTTTTCGAAACTCTATTGAATGATATTTATGGTATTTATCTTTTTTTAATTGAACACAAATAATCTCAAAAGCAGCTGATGGGTCCATAACAATATAAGATGCAAGATTTTCAGTTCCTCCTGATCTGTCCTGTCATCATGTTTTTCAGTTCCTTTTGGCAGTTTAGGAGGATATTCTTGTGGCATTTTCTTGGATGTTTTATCTCATCAAAGCATATATTGTATTCTTATATTGTTTTTGTACGATAACAACTATATATTGTGAATCGTATAAGGGAAGTCTACATTTTATTTTACCCATTTATCTTGGAGTTAATTATGGTAATATAATCTTTTATGTTTTTACTTTACTTTAGGCAACAAGTTATTTTTATGCTAGCTAAATGGTCACTTACAGTTCTTTTGGGGTTGAGCAGTGTTAAATATTCCAAAATGCTGTGAACTATGCATTCTCAAAGTGCTATGGACTAATGTTCTTTGATGATAGATGCTGAGTAGGATGATGTGCAAAGGTCTATTTGCTGCAATATAGTTTTTTTTCTTCCTAACGCTGGCAGTGTGATGACTTGAAATTATAGATGGTAAACAAAAGGTCATGTTTAAAAGTTTCTTTACAACTTATTTGAGTAAACTAATGTTCTTTGTTGAAGCTGAGTGCTCCTTTCAGTTAGGAACTGAAGCTCACATAATGTCCCAATACTAATCCAAGAAGCTTAAGGTTCTGAAACTGATGATGCATGACTCCACAAAAAAATTTTAATGGAGCAGTGCTGCCCTAGGTTAACAAAATGCATGAATGGAAGTATCAGTTGAGACCTTAAAAACATTACAATCTAAGAAGCATAGACACTTCTTAGAAGGTGCTTGTGTCTTGTCCATGTTTGACACCGATACTCATCGCCGACACTTCCCGGTTTGTTTCGGACACACATCTAAATTTATCATATTATCATTTAGATATTTTTTTTAAGACTAAGACATGCTTCGGACACTTGGGAACACACATATGTCCATCACTTAGACACTCATGAAACACATTATAAGTTGGAAGTTTGAATAAAATAAAAGTATATGCTGATATTATGTTACAAGAGCATTCACTTTTCCTTTGAATCTGTTAGGCGTGTGAGTGGGACAAAATTGAGTCATTACCTTCCTTTTAGGCCTAAACTTTCTGAACTATTGAACTTCAGGACTAAATTAATATGGGTGATTCAGAAATTGATTTAAAATGATACCTAGCATGAATAATGAAAGCAAATTTTGAAGGTGTGAGATTCTAGTGCCTACCATGTGATGGGTTCTCTTACTCTTTGCTCTGAGGTTGAAATAGCAATTATTGTCTGAGAAACTGTGGTGGATTTAGGGTATGGTGGGAAGAAGTTGTTTGTTTTGCCCTTGGCTTCTTATCACATGTCCTCGGCTGAACTACTTTCTTCTATGTTTTTGGGGTTATTTATCTTCTTTTCTTTGTTATTCCTTTCATTTCTGATGCTGACGTCTGAAGTAGAAGAAGCAAATGAATAAACACAAGTCTGATTCATAAAAGTTATTGCCCCATATGGAAAAATGAAACAACATTTTTATGCAACCTATACGGGCAGTGCATAAAAACATGTTTTTATCTAGATGCTAAATGTAGTGTGATTGTGGTCTACATAATTCCAGTACTTGTTTGTAAATATTGGAATTCTATAGAACCATCGGTTGAATAAGATATCTTATTGATTTGAAGGTGTGTTGATTTTGTAAGGTAGTTTGTTTCTGATCTGATCATTTGGTATCATCATTAAACAGGACATTATGCTCAACCGGAGTATTAAGGATGCACTTGTGGCTGAGGAGAAGTTTTTTCGCAGTCGTCCTGTATGACATGCTGTTTTTTAATTATTGTTTATAGTTGTCCTAGTTCATCATCAAACTTTTTATTATCTGTAGCTTTTGCTGTTGCTTAGGTGTATAGTGATCTTGCGGATCGCTGTGGTGTCCCCCAGTTGGCAAAGAAGTTGAACCAGGTACAGCTACCTGAGTTGCAATGTTTCTCATGCAACATTCTTTACTGTTTAAAAATGGATGATTAATTTGAAGTACCGTGTTGCAACAATCTTCAACTGTTTAGCAATTTGAGAAGGCCATAGGTTTCATGGAAAACTTGTGCCTGTCTTACGCAGATTCTGGTACAACACATCAAGACAGTACTTCCAGGGTTGAAGTCACGAATAAGTACTGCACTGGTTTCTGTTGCAAAGGAGCATGCTAGCTATGGAGAAATTACTGAATCAAAGGCATGTTAATTCTTGTTTACCGAAGTTTTCAGTAGATTATGCTTGAGTTCATTGCTGCACTCGTTGACAGGTTATTTACAGTCATGTGTTTGCTATTTTCTTTATGCATCTAGGCAATCCTATATTAATTGTAAAAAATTTGCTAGATTATGCTTGTATTCACTGCTAAGTTCATTTGGCTGTCACTTTTGCCCTAAGCATATAGGGGAATGAAGAACTTCCTGGATAGAGTGTTGCATATACATAGGCAAAACAGTGGAGTGATAAAAGTTTGCATTTTTTACTTCTGTAGTGATCCAGCGGCAATATACTGATCTGGATGCGAGGCACTTTTGAATGTAAACCAGTTTCATTATGATCTACGTGTCTTTTTGCTTTGAAGTTTATAACATATTTTTTTACGGTGGTGGTAACTTCTTTCCAGTTATACTTCAATGTGTCTGAATATGTTTATCGGTGCCTAAGCTTTTGGTCATTGGCTGTTCAGAAGGACAGTTTTCCACTGCTTTTGTACTTATTGTCATCACTTCTCTTTCCTAATAGGCTGGTCAGGGAGCTCTTCTTCTGAACATTCTATCTAAATACTCTGAAGGTAAAGTAAATGTGGCTCCACCTACCCTGCACTTTTTTGGGGCCACAAGTTTATTTTAATTTTTTATGTACCTTTATATTTATATGTTGTCAGCGCTGGAACCTTATTTATGGCTTTGTCAATTCCTTGTTGGGAACAGCATTTTCTTCAATGATAGAGGGAAAAAGTGAAGAAATGGCAACATCTGAGCTGTCTGGTGGTGCAAGGATCCATTACATTTTCCAGTCAATATTTGTGAAAAGTTTGGAGGTGTGTATTGTTGATATTAATTTTCATTTGGCATGTTTTCTGACATTTTATATTGCAGGCTTTGTTCTTGGAAAGTATTTTCAATGACTACTTTCTCTTCATCAAATAAAAATTCAAAAAACTTCATACTTAGGCTTGCTACTTTGTCCACTTCTTTCCTAGCATTGCTGTAATTAGAGTCCTCGTAATGAATGTCATATGGGAAATTGGTAATGTTTCATTTGTTAGCTGGGAGACGGGGGCAAAGGTAAGGAAATATTTCATAACCATTCTAAACTTGAATGGTTACGAGATTCACTTTTTGTTATCTCTTTTTAGCTGTCTTTGCAGCAATTAAATGGAACATAAAATATAAAGGTAATAACTCCCTCATCTTTAGGGTTTTACCTGCATAAATCTTATCTTTTCAAAGTAGTAATTTGAAATGTTCTGTTAGAAGTTGTCTTCCATTTTTATCCTACAGAAGTTGTAGATGAGCCAGCTGGCTTCCTATGTGCGATTGTGATCAATGCTATAATGGTAACTGGGACACAGTGCTGGATTGAAGTTTGTATTAACCCATCAAATTTTAGAAGACTTGATCTCTGTTGCAGGAGGTGGATCCATGTGAGGACTTAACTGATGATGACATCCGAACTGCCATTCAGAATGCAACTGGTCCTAAATCTGCGTTGTTTGTACCGGAGGTTGGTTGTTTATTTTTGTTATTATTTTGAAAACTTGAATGCTTACTTCACGGTTGGTTGATCTTTAATTTGATCTTGTTAGTTTAATCTTCTAATTTGTAGGTTCCATTTGAAGTTCTTATCCGAAGGCAAATAGCTCGTCTGTTAGACCCAAGCCTTCAATGTGCTAGGTTTATCTATGATGAATTAATGAAGGTAAAGAAATTCTTGATGTATACCTTTCTGGATTATCTAGTGTTGCGATTCGCACCTAGGCACTGATTCTATTGATTCTGTTTTAGATGAGTCATTGCTGTATGGTCAATGAACTACAGCGGTTTCCTGTTCTAAGAAAGCGCATGGATGAGGTTTTAGGACACTTTTTGCGAGGAGGACTTGAACCTTCAGAGACAATGATTGGACACATTATTGAAATGGAGGTATGCTGGCTTCCCATTGTTGTTCTTGCAAACGTGACTAATACTTGCATCTTCACATTATAAGACACAATTACTCACTTTCTATAGATGTTGATGGGGCTGTTCATACAATTCCCTAATTATGACATCTTTTATGTTATTGTATCTAGACTTCTTTCTGTATTTATTCTTTTTAGTTGCTGACTACCTGTTTCATGATTCTTTCCTTTATGTTTATTGCCTCAATTGTTGTACAAATGTGTGCATGCGTGCATATGGACACATTTGGAGTGTTTTTTTATGGCCATGTCCCTTTGTGACTGGTCATGCTCTAACAGACAAATTTCAAAAAAAAAATAAAAATACAAATTTACGGCAAGGGAGATGGATTTTAGAACCGATCACAAATGGATTGGCTTCAGAGCCTGAATATTGTCAGGTTGTGCGGCTTTAATATCCCCAAAAATATCTTGTATGTAATGTTTGGCCTTTTCTGGCAATTGTTTATTCCATGTATGCTATGGGTTGTTTATGCATTGAGTGATGATGGTTTATGATAGGCTACGTGAGTTTACTCCTTTAGATTCATGTTTCCATGAATGTAGTTGGAAATTGAATTTGCATATTTTGTGCATGCAAACTTTGTTTGCTGGGTCAAAGGTATTGTTTTAGAGGCATTGTTTTAACTGTGTTTGCTGGGTCAAAGTTATGGCCATGGAACTAAAAAATTAAAATCTTGTTCTGTGCATATGCTTTTAAAAATTAACTTCTCAATGTTTTTGCATTTATGTGCGCATTCATGTTTTTGTAAAATGATTAGTGCTTTGCAACAATCTCTAGCAGCAAACCCCCCCCCGGCCTCTCTTTTTTAAATGTTAATTCAGTTCTGTATTCCAGATGGACTACATAAACACTTCCCACCCACGTTTTATTGGTGGGAGTACAGCTGTGGAGAAGGCATTGGAACATACCAAGTCCAGTAGGATTACTTCATCCATTCCTAGGTCAAGGGTACGTATATAAGCTGCTGTTGCTTACTGTAAGTGTTCCATATGCTGCACCTTCACCCACTGTTTGAATTTCTTATTCTTCTTTTTCGCCCTCTGCTTCCTTCTCTGTACTATAAATTTAAATATGGTACATTTGTCCATTAGGATGCAGTAGATTCGGAAAAGACATCAACATCGGAAAGAAATCTTAAATCTCGTGCTATTCTGGCCAGACCAGTAAATGGAATTGTCCCTGAGCAGGTAACTGAGTTGTTAGTCCCTTGCATTAGCTGGCACATTGTTTTATTGAACAACTTGTTACCTCTTGTTACTTTGCTGTCACTGTTAGTCTAAGAGAATTAAAATCTTTTGTGTGATTAGATTTGTTCAGATTGTCTAATTATTCTTGTTATTATGATTGTTTTTTTGGGGGTCTTAGGGAGTTCGGCCTGTTGCAGATGTTGAGAGAACCACATCATCTGGTAAAGTGTTATATGGAAAATAAATTTAAATATTACTGTGCTAAATTGACTACTGATGAATTTGATTTAAGTTTCGCAGCTTATAATTTATTAGTTTGGAAGAAAGCAGTGGATTGTTTTGAATTATGTAGCTTTCTTTTTCTCTTACGCTGTGTTTGGTTGGGGGATTGGAAAGGGAAATGGAAAAGGAAGGTGAAATGTGAATAAAATATAACTGCATTTCACCTAGATTCACACACCTTTTCCCTTTCTTTTTCCAATTCCCTTTCCAAATTCCCCAACCAAACATAGCATCGAGGTATTCCGAACCATTATTTTATAAGAAGTGACTGAAAGTGCGATTTCTATGAAATAGCCTAATTCGTATGTTTATGATTAACCAGGGGCTATACCTGTTTCAAATTGGGGGATTTCATCAATTTTTGGTGGTTCTGAAAATCGCACGTCTGTCAAGGAGAACTCAACAAACAAGTCATTCAGGGAACCTGTTCAGAGTATGGAGCATGCCGTCTCTATGATCCATTTGAGAGAGGTATGTGCACAAGCTCTTATCTCCAGGCGCTTCAACTGGTTTGATTATTGAGCCTTGATCTTTTATGGTTATATAGTTCTGACAAATGTCTGTCTGTATTTTTTGAAGCCCCCATCCATCTTGAGGCCCTCAGAGATCCGTTCTGAGCAGGAGGCTATTGAAATAGAAGTCACAAAATTGCTGTTGAGATCATACTATGACATTGTTCGAAAGAATGTTGAGGATTCTATTCCTAAAGCAATTATGCACTTCCTGGTAATTTTTATGACGGTCGTGCCACTATATTTTTCTTTTCCTGCTTTTCCTTATTTTCGTTCTGTAATTATCACAATTTGGTTTGAACAACTATTATACAAATTTTGGGGGTATGAATAATGGTGAAATTGGACTTTGTAACCCTGACTGCGAATGACTCTAATCTATGGTTTTGCAGTGAGTGTGGAGTTGTAGTTGACCTTAGAATTAAATTGGATGGCTGGCTGAGGCTGTGCATGATGTGGATTTATTCAGAATTGATTAAATCGTTAACAGTTAAAAAATTGAAAATCTAGTTAAGCTTTGATAGGAAAAATGTGAACACCCCTTTTTTGTGATAATTATGTATTGCTATCATCATTTTGGTCATCTTGTGAATTGATCTTATAATTTTGGTGCTTTGCTGGTCGGGACTGTTCAATGTTTCTGTAGGCATTGACACTTTTTGATCCCTCTGACCCTGTTCGATTAAATGGGGATTCTAACATAGTTGGGGGATTTTGCCTTGTCTTTCATGTAACATACTGTTGGTTGTTCAGGTACAAAACCTCATCAACTTTAGCATTTATAGTTGGTCTGCGGTAGTATATCTATTTTTGTATTCTTTTATTATGAAGATTTTTTATTTGTAATTATGTGGGTGTTTGGGAAGTGTGTTTTTTTGTAGGTTTTTTTAGTTGTAGGATATTATTGGAGAATTTTTTTTTTGTGTTTGGGAAGATAGTTAGATTTTTTTGTGGTTGAATGTGATGTTTGTGAGAGAAAAAGTGAAATGATTATGGGGTTTGATGTGATATTTTGTTTGGATCTATAAAAGATAAAAAGTCAAAAAGTTATCATTATTCACCAAAAAAAAAAAAAAAAAAAAAAAAAACCAAAGACCAAACTTCCCAAACACCCCATATGTCAATAACAATAAATTTTTGAACTCCAAGGCAAGTGGCTGAGCGGTAAAGCTTGGAGGATAAAATCCACAGGTCTCGAGTTCAAGTCACACCTTAGGGCCAGTGGAGGTTTGCCTGGTCGTTAACTTTAGGGCTCCGAGATTAGTCGAGGGGCGTGAAAGTTAGCCCGGACACTTGGATATCAAAAATAAATAAATAAATAACAAAAATTTTTTGTCTTGCTTTTTTTCTTTTCAATGGTTGGTATATGAACATTGTATTCTAAGCATTCCATGCATTCTCAAACTCTGAATTTTTTTTGATTCATTTCCAGGTAAACCACACAAAAAGAGAGCTGCACAATGTCTTCATTAAAAAGCTTTACAGGTAACAGTGTGAAGGCAGTGAGTTCTCAAAATATATCATTCACACAAATGACTATGTTCCTTTAAAAGCAGACTTTAGATTATTGTTATTCTTTTACTAATGATAATTTGAGCTACTCAGCTTAACTGTACTGTATTTGTTACATAGTGTTGTTTGTGTGTTCATCAGAGACAACCTGTTTGAGGAGATGTTGCAGGAACCTGATGAGGTGTCAATGAAGAGAAAGCGTACACGAGAGATGCTCCGTGTTCTTCAGCAGGCTTTCCGGGTGGGTTTTCTTTTATTCCTTGCTTTTTTTTTTAATGAAGACAGTACATAAAGATTCATCCATATTCTCTCTCTTAAGAATATGGTATCTAATCATGACGACGAACTGGTCCCTTACTCATGACATGTGGATTTCAGCTCGCCTGATTATGAAGTTTTACGAACTATTGGTATAGGATGTACAAAACATAGTGGCAATTTCTTATTGTTAGCTATCTAAATTGACTCCATTTAACTATTTAAAAAAGTACAAAGCACAGTGGTGCATATGTGTATGTATATTTGTCTGCATATTTATTGGATTCACTTCATGACTCTTAATGTGATACACTGCTTAAGAAATCTTGTGGTTGTTTTGGCCAACTTTTCTTCTTTTATAGACATTGGATGAATTACCACTAGAAGCCGAGACAGTTGAGAGGGGTTACAGCGTGAGTACCGATCCAACTGGCTTGCCAAAAATCCACGGGCTTCCATCCATGTATTCAACAAGCAGCGGTTCAACTGAATCATACACAGCTTCACCTAAAAACCCGAAGTCCCGCAAGTCATCTCACTCTGGGGAGCTACACTCTTCTTTATATGCTAATGCAGATTTCAATGGAGGTGGACACAATTCCATTTTCGGCCATTATGAATAGGAACCAAGTTTGTCAAGGCATCGTGTTTGTTTCAGCGTTCCTGTTCGTAATCTTGCAAGATACCAGGAAACTCAGTCTGGATCTGCCTCGAGTAGGAATTTTTTTTCCCCTAAGAGTGGGGGTGCCAGTCAGATGTTAACGATTACCTTGACTGGCATATATTTTACTTATGTTCGTTTTAAATGTAGTTGGTTATAAATATGCATTATTTTAGAAAGCTCTGAAGGGAATAACAGGAGCAGGTGATACTCTCCTATATATGATAAAATCACACAATTTTATTGCTTAATAGTAGTTGCTTGGAGCGTTAAACTCTTGAGATTCATAGATTAGGGAGTGATTTTTGATTTTTTTGTATTCCGACTCTATGATTAGCTGGTCAATGATAGTGTATGGTAGTATGCACTTGTCTTTGGAAGCTCTGTAATTGAACGAGGTGATAATAGTGTTTCATGATTCTTTCTACCATTGTTCTGATGTAGACAAATTTACATCTCTCTCTCTAAAATGCATGCTTCTAAATGGCACTTGTGCAATGGATCTCTAGTGAAGAACAAATTCCACAGTTTCTACACGCTTTGTTTGGTTCTAAGATTTGGTGAGTGGAAGGAAAAATCGAAGGGGACAAAGGTGAACATGGGATTCTTTTGGCTATCTCCTCCGGGAATCATGACAGCTGACTTTTTTGTTTGTTGTGTTTGTTTTATGTTTTAAATATATCTAGCTCTTTTTGTTTTTCCCAAAAAAATAAAATAAAATTTGAATATGGGTATGGGCCATAACCAGCAGGTGACAAAGTTATGGAGGGCTATCTTCACTTGCTGGTTCCTCGGCTACAAGTGTGGAGCAGGAAGGATGAACAGCTATACTTGCATGATCATTCTCCACGCTTGTACTCGGAGGCACAGTAGTTCTCCTTTCTGTCATTCCCAACCCTAACTCTCCTTCACCTCATAGTACCCCAATTGCATCCCCAATTGTAAGACCACTATGTCATCATCGCAATTGAATTTGGCAACCTCAAGCGATGGAAAGAGCCCTCTCCATCTTTTATTGATTTGGTGATTTTGTGATAAATTTGGGGTTTCGATGGAGAGAGAAGAGGTTGGTAGTGAGGTAAAATGGTGGTAAAGCGAAGAAAACATACGAAGAGTATTTTTAGATAGTTTAAATTATAAATACATTTTTTTTGTAATTTTACAAATTGCAAATATTTTTTTCTCATAATTTTTTATTTAACATAATTTATTGGGAATTTTTTTTTAAGGTCCCTGGTATTAAGATATTATAGCATAGAGGACTCCTAATATTTTCATAATGTCTAAGGTCTCTCAACATCAATCCAGAGAAAATTCGACCCAGAGAATTTCTCTGGACTTTTCTAAGATTTTCTCTATACTTCCCAGAGAATTTCTCTGCATTTCCCAGAGATTTTCTCTGCACTTCCCAGAGAATTTCTCTGGACCTCCTAGAGATTCTCTCTCTAGATAAATTTGTGTTTTGACTCAACCAGAGAAAATTGATCAAAAAGGAACCTCAAGACCAATATATACCTAATCATTATCAAACCAGAGAAAATTCATTCAAAATCACATTTTTCATTTTTTTTCTCCCCTTCGAATATCTGAGCAAGTAAACAAATTAATACAGAAACTGAAGCAACTAAATATCAAAAAGAAACCACCACATCTCGAGTTTTCCAGAGAAAATTCGCACAGTGACTAAATCCAGAGAAAATTCACACAATAGCCAAATCCAGAAAAAATTCACATAGTGACTAAATCTATAGAAAATTCACATACAATCTGTATAAACCCCCAGAACCTTTGAGTAAACAATCACCACTCTCATTATCTCCAAACTTGAACAAAATTGTTGATTTTTGAAACTCCAACTTTAACAAAATTCACAGAGAAAATATTACTAGAGAAATTCACATTAATCCAAAGAAATTCTTCAAAACCAGAGAAAATCTCACCTCCACCCCAGAGAAAATCACTCAAACCAGAGAAAATCCCCTTTCCAACCCAGAGAAATTCCCCCTCACAATCTTTTCTGGTTGAAAATCATAAATTTGTTTAAATATATTTGTTTAAATAACACTTTTATAGAACAATAAGGTTAAGATTATAAAAATAAATAATTAGAATCATTCTTTAATTTTAAATAACTTCCTAGAGAAATTCTCTCCAAATTTCTCTGGAACTTCCCACTCTCTGGTTTGCACAAATTTCTCTGGTGCACAAATTTCTCTAGTTTGCAAATTTTTTTGGCAAATGATATGCTTCCACCACAATAATAATCTCAGTAGTGGTCTCCAAATTGAAATTTCTCTAGTTTGCAAATTTCTCTAGTTTGTACAAATTTCTCCAGTTTGTAAATTTCTCTGGCAAATGATATGCTTTCACCACCATAATAATCTCAATAGTGGTCTCCAAATTAAAATTTCAATAATGCTTTCAGTAAAATTTCAATAAAAAAAATCATGTTTCAGTAATGCTTTCACTAGTGGTCTCTGGTAGTGAAAGCATAAAATGGAGACCACTCTGGAACACTGTTTTAACGATAATTTCAGCAGCAAATCCCTTCATATTTCAATCCCATACGATAATAATCTTATGCATACATCTATACACAGAAACCATAAATATCCATATATGTATATGTACTGAGCAATTGAAATCAACTAACGATCAATTTCATTGATTTCTTAAGGTTCCAATACAAAACTCTCAATTGCATAGTTTTGTTTTATATATGAAAAAGTGGAAGTAAAAAAAAGATGGGATAAGAAACCTGTAAACCAACAAAGTGTAAATCATCGCCTTTCTTGGGCTTGCAATACTTCTCTTCGATGTGTTTGGCCATGAAAATGGCAGTGTTGGCAAGCTTGCAAATGTTGGGTACATTGTAGTTCTGAGCTATGTATATTCCGCACACTGTTCCCACCATGAATGAGAAACTGCTCTTTATTATCCACATCTCATCACTCTCTACTTCGATTGTCTTCGTCTAGGGCTCCAATCTCTGCTAAAGACTCGTTAGGGTTTCCACTGCTCTCTCTCTCTCTGGCAGTGGAGGTGGAGTTCATCGGAGAGAGAAGAGTATAGAGAGAGAAAGAGAATGAGAGGTGGTTTGATTTGAGGGATCAAATATCCCTATGATATATAGGTATTGGGAGTTGAGGGATCTTATACATCATAAAATAATATTGTGGATCTCTTCCAGTAGTAAAAATGGTATAGAGACCTTTGACTAATTTGCCATAATTTATTAACTTGATGATTTATTAATAACATGGGTTATTTGTTATGCAATTAAAAATTTGAAAGGTTATGATATAATTTTCAAAACTACAGAGGATAATTTATATTTTAAACAAACTTTAAAGGTATATTTGTAATTTACTCTTTTAAATATATCTACACACACATATATAAACCGTACAAAATAGATAAGTCTTCTTATGTTATGCAATTGCATTTATTTTAGGATAAATTATACTTTGTCCTTTTTATATGTAGTCATTTTTTTACTTTGACCATATATATTTCAATTTTTTTTAAAAAAATTTATTCTTAAAACTAATTTCTCTTCAAAATAAGACATACAATACCGCGTTAGCTATCACATGATATAAAAAATATATTATTATATTAGAAATTTGAATTTGTGACAGAAGTGCATAAGTTATATATAATAAAATATTTTTATATTATGTGGTTGCCATTTTTTGGCTAATTTTGGACAAATTAATTTTTCAAGTAAATTAAAAAAAAAGGATTGAAATATGAAGGGCCAAGTGAAAAAAAAAAATCAAGGGTCAAATGAAAATTTGACAAAATATAAGCAGGGCAAAGTGTAATTTATCCTTGCTGAAATTGAAATAATAGCAATTAAACTAAAATTTGGGTTAAATTATAAGGGCAAAAAACTGTAATTTATCCTTATTTAAGAGTCAACAGTATAATTTATTCTATTTTGAAAACTATATGCTTTGGCGGGAACACTACCTAACTAACAGATTTTACAGAGCACGCGTGCTTTGATCTTCGCCTCACTTCTGATCTTCTCTCTCTCTCTCTGCTTCCAAAACTCACCTCTATTTTCCCTGATTCTCACTTTCTCGGGAAAATTCTATCTCTGTCTCTCACAATGCATGGAAACCGAATCGTCGCTCACCTGGCCTCTGTTCCTCGCCCTAGCTGGAACCGCTTCATCGTCATCTTCATAACCTCCTTCTTCACCATCTTCTTCGCTACCCTCTACTATCAATCACAAGTTGAAGTTTCTTGGTTCCAAGTGCCTACTACTCTCAAGGTATCTCCTCGCCTCATTTTCTTTCACTTTCTCTCACTTTCCTGCTCTCGATTTCCCTGATTTCACACTTTTTTTCCCCCAAATCTTGAAGGTCACCCCCAATTTCGAAGTCTTCACTGATGTCTACCACTCTTCGCAAGTCTTCGGCCACAATTACGAGGAAATGGAGAGGAATTTCAAGATTTATGTGTACCCTGACGGAGATCCGAAAACGTATTACCAAACGCCGAAGAAGCTCAAGGGAAAGTACGCCAGCGAAGGGTATTTCTTCCAGAATATTCGAGAGAGTCGGTTTCGGACTGACGATCCCGAGCAAGCTCATTTGTTCTTTATACCGATTTCTTGTCAGAAAATGCGTGGATCGGTATACACTATTTTGTTTCATGTTTGATTTATGCTTTTCTTGGAGTTTATTCATGAATAATTATGCTTTGTGTGATGTGTTTTGGGGTTAGGGTTTTTGGTTTATAGTTTACATTGTAAATGTAATAATTAGGTTTCAAGATGATTGAAGGGTATTCAGAATTATGTCCTAACATACTTCTTGCCTCTTGGAGCAGTTTTTGTTATGTTCAGCATGATTATTATTGAATTTACAAATTTATTGGGTTGGGTTGTAGTCTGGATGAATCTTGCTGTGTTTCTTGGTCTGGTTGAATGTAACATCTTTAATTTGTCATAGAATTTTTTATACTCTGTTTGCTCTCTCTCTCTCTCTCTCCCTCTATATATATATATATATATGTATATATATATTTATACACACACACTATTATATATGTGAAAGTTAGAGTTGGTGTTAACGTCTCATTATTTTAGATTTTTCCAAAATACGCCTATAGTAGTTGCATGAGCAGTTGTGCCCATGATTCAGATTTTTTTTTTTTTTTAATTTCAACTTTTGATTTTTCTAAATTCATTTCTATTTTCAGATTTTGAATTCAATCATACAATTTACAATCTTATTTTTCTGAAATAAAATGATGATATGCACATGCATCACGTATGGTGTTACTTTTACTTCTAGTATATATATCCATTTTGCCCTTCTTCTTCCCTTTTTACACCTGTTTGTTCTAGTTCATTTCAATAGCTCTTGATTGATTTTCTTTGGAAATAATCTCCTTTGTTAAACAACCATGTTATAATTTCTCATATAATCTCCTTTCTAATATTTTTTTTTCCTGTATTAAATATGAACGAATGTGTTGAGGTACTGAAGTGATTACCTTAAAAATATTTATGTGTAGCATTGTGACTGTACCTTTTTGTTATTTTTTTTTTCTTAATTAAAGTTTCACATCGAGCAATTGTTTCAACTTTGGAACTTTCGTCTTAAATTGAGGAATTTGCTGGTAAATCTTTTTTAAATTCGCATGTCTTAGTTTGAAAGGCTAATATCTTACTCATTTGGTCCGCTCCTTTTCCCATGTTTATAGTAATGCTATATTAACTGCATTTTCTTCAATGTGGGGAGACATGATATTCTGGCAAGATGGCTTAATTAGATACATTTTAGTTTGCTTGTGCAACTCCTACCAAAGCTGGTGTACCTTCAATAACACATCATTGTTTAATCTCTATTCTTGTTAATAATCCTCATTTCCCATTAAATTGCATCCCCATTATTTTCGTTCAACAATTTTAAGGGTTCGTTTGGGAAATGAGTTGGCTTTTTGACTTTTTGACTATTTTAACCTGAGGCTAAAAAGTCTCGTTTGAGAATGATTTTTTGATTTTTTGATTTTTTTGACTTTTTGTGAGAAAAAGAATGTAATGATTATGAGTTGAATGTGATGTTCTGTCTTATTGGGCTAAAAAGTCTATTTTGTCTTTTTGTGGTTAAAATAGTCCCAACCCAACCCAACCCAACCCTTCTTCCCAAACGAAACCTAACTATGATATTGGAATTTAAAAAATAATAATAATAATAAAAATATTATTCTCTCCCACTCATTGTATTCAAGGCTTATTTTTCACTACAGGTTACACCAGTCGTACACTAATTCATAATCAATTCTCCTAATCAATTCTCTTTGTATGTTTCTTACAAAAGTTGAAGTTTCTTGGTTCCAAGTGACTGTTCCTCTGACATTTGTGAATTAGTATCTTACTCTCTTTAGAACATTTGTGATTCTTATCTTAATGTAAACATTTTGCTATTATTTTCCACAGCCTAATCGTTAGATGCACTAACCTGAAGAGAACCAGGGTGCTGATTTTTCTCTCTGTACTCTCATCCATTTGTATTATATTTTTTTGTATGCAGGGAGCTTCATATGAAAATATGACTACTATAGTTCAGAATTATGTGCAGAGCTTAATATTGAAGTACCCTTACTGGAATAGAACGTTGGGCGCTGATCACTTTTTTGTGACTTGCCATGATGTTGGTGTGAGGGCGACTGAAGGGGTTCCGCTTCTGGTGAAGAATTCAATTCGAGTTGTGTGTTCACCGAGCTATGAAATTGGATTTATCCCACACAAGGATGTTCCCCTCCCTCAAGTGCTGCAGCCCTTTGCTCTTCCTGCTGGAGGAAACGACACAGAGAACCGGTTGGTATAGTCTAGATATTCTGTGTATTCCTTTCCAGTACTAACAATTATGTTTTGTGGTACTTTTTCGTATAGATGTACATTAACAGTGAAATCAATGTGTGGCACTTATCCCCATTACTTTCCAATACATAAATGTTTATTCATTTCCTGCCCTCTGTAAGCTTCATGTTTTCTGCTTCAAATCATTTATGTGCATGTAGTTTTCATGTATATCTGTTAATCTCTCACCTCCAAATTTAGCATTTCCATTGACCAAGTTTTGTTGTTTAGAACTTCATCCATCATCTAATTCTGACTTACGCAAAAATAAAAAAAATTTCTCCCAGTTCCTATTTAACTGTCTATATACTTACAATCATTCTTACTATAGTCTATTGCATCTGATGGCAGAACATAATGATTTTATTTTATTTTTCCTCTGTGTGATAGCTTCTTTGGGCACTTAATTACCATCTGAAGGTCTTAGTTATAACAGAGAAAATGCCATCTGCTATAATGTATCCTTTGAGCTCAGCAGGGTAGCCCACAACGGATATTCTTATCTACAATAATTAAATCTCCATAGTAGCCACTGTTTCTTTCTTGTCTTTCTTTTTACCTTTTTTTAGTATTTTATTGAACATTACTGTCGAAGGGTCATAATAAATTTTATTGCTCATACATTAGAAATCTTGCTGCAGAAGTCCTTTTCAGCAGCCTTTTTTTATTATTATAGATAAGAATATCTATTTTTTTAACAAGGCCCCATAAGATTTTGTTCTGCTTGATTTGACCTGGCTTTGGTCCTTCATGGCCTTTCTGTTCAAATGTCTAGCTTGCTAGTTCACTATCTGTTAGCCATTGTGTTTATGCTTCCACTGAATTGCAAATTAAACTTCTTGTTAGTGGAAGGAACAATACTTTTCATAAATTTCCTACTAATATCAGCTAGCACAATGTACAGGAAAATGCTCGGTTTCTGGGCAGGTCATCGCAATTCTGAAATAAGAGCTGTACTAGCAAATGAATGGGAGAATGACACAGAACTTGATATCCAGAATAACAGAATAACTAGAGGCACTGGACATTTGGTATACCTACAGAAATTCTATACCACGAAGTTCTGCATATGCCCGGGTGGTTCACAAGTCAATAGTGATCGCATAGCTGACTCTATTCATTACGGATGTGTACCTGGTAAAAGAAATATATACTCACCTAAACTTTTTATACAGAGTGCTTGTATACGAACAGCCTGTCTTGGATTCTGTTTTCTAAGCAGTTTTTTCCTGCCTGTTCTGCAGTAATATTGTCAAATTACTATGATCTTCCATTCAATGATATCCTTAATTGGCGGAAATTTTCTGTGATACTCAATGAGCTTGATGTATATGGTCTGAAGTATATTCTAAAGAAAATACCAGAATCAGAATTCATCAGATTACATTACAACCTGGTCAAGGTAAAAATAACTTCTTCTTTTCTATGTTTTTCATTTTCATTTTTTACTCTTTTTTTTGTTTTTTTGTTTTGTTTTTTTTTTTAATTTCAACAACAGTAGAGATCAAAAGATACAACGAATCAGATCTTCTAAGCTTTTGGAATATGATCGTTCCAACTGTTATTTTTCCTTCTCTTCTACTCAAAATTTCGGTTTGTCCTTGGTAATTCTTGCTATCATTGCCCCATCGAGTATATCTCACTATTCAGTCTCCTAAGAACAATATTTTTATGGCAATATGTTTATTTGCATACAAAATAGCATAAATTGTAGGTCATGCATTATAAATGAAATTTGATTTCTAATTTATTGGAGTGACAAAAGTAGAAATGCATACAGGCATAACAGTTTTGTGTGTACTCACTGTTAATAGATTAATAACAACCATGAACTGACCTCACATCACATCTCACTTTGTCTAAATAAGCACAATCAACGCCTACACTATCACTTCTCAAAAACATCACAAGCTTTAGTGTTAAATTTGTTTCCAAATCGCGAGTCTGATTTTCTTTTACTTTCCCCCCTCTCTGTGACTCCGTCAATTTATTAGGTGCAGAAGCATTTTGAATGGAACACACCTCCAATCAAATACGATGCATTTCATATGGTCATGTACGATCTCTGGTTGCGCCACCATGTCATCAAGTACTGAATTATCATGACAAATATTGCAATCTCTTACTGTACTGTCCATTAACAGCATTTCTGCACCAGAGATCCTCCATAGCCGTTAACACAGCAGGTTCTGACAGTAGTTTTACTTGTAAGTACTTCTATTCTATGCTTCAAGCAAAAAAGAATTGCACCTTCCATGCTGAGTGGAGAAAGCTTTAAGAGAGCTTGGCAAACTCCCAAAAAGGAAAATATTGCTTCATTTGGCAGCCTCCAATTTTGTTTTTGGTCAAATTTTAGCTATTCTTCTGATCAGGTGTGTCTGTCTGTGTAAATCAGAATAGATGTAAAATGTGAATGTTACTTTTTAGGTTTGCAACCTTGTTTTTATCAAAGTGGGTATACTATTACTGTCCAACCATGTTTCAGTTTGGGTTTTCTCAGTAAAATGTCAAATGCATTCACTTCGCAATTTTTGTTTTCTAGGCCTTCTATCATTCTGCAGTAGTCCGCTGAATATCTGCCATAGTGATGCGCTTTTCTCATTCCTTTCCTACATGCATAAATAAATATCGATATGTATGTTAATATATTTATGAGGAACAATACTGTACATGAACACATTTCATATTTTTATTAGGATAAATTATGCTGACCTCACTTAAATTTTTTTTTTTATAAAAAAATTAGCTTCATAATTTTGACATAATCACATTAAATTCCCTTAAAATTTTAAATTACATAACAAAATTCTCTTTTTGTCAATAATATGTTATTTATATATAAAAATATATATTTTTTGTTTTTATTTATAATTTGTGTTTTCACACCATTTACATTAGTTTCGATTCATTTAACATTATTAAAAAAAAAGTTGTAATCATATCAAAATTGTAAAATTTATTATATTTTCTTCAAATTTCAAGAGAAGTCAGTATAATTTCTCCTTTTTCTTGACACTACTATACACAGTATAAAATCCACATGCATTTATTAAAATGGATCTCGCTACCTTTGTCTAATAGTAAAAAAAATTGTGAAAATTTTGTGCATGTAAATAGGCATTATTCACTGGGAATGACTTCCTCTTCATACCACATCTTCCATGTTTATTAAGTGGGATAAATTTTAGGCTCACAACAATGATCCGAATCATTCATTTTGTAAACATTGCAGTAAAGACCATCTACGTAAAAGAATTAACCTAATTTTTTGCATAACTCATCTTTACATGCAAGATGAATGGTTCATATCATCATCGTGAGACCGAGAAAGAGCTCACAAAAACAAGTATGGAGGGTTATGGAGGATAGTTATATGGAGGGGAACCATTCCCTCGACTTGAATGCAATTAAATCACAGAGCATGGTTAATGACTATTCTTCCAAATTTAAAGCAATTGTGTCAAACCAGGAAGGAATAAACTTGCAAAGTTTTGGCCTATTAGTGTGGTGCTTGTCAACAAAGTAGTTATGTAATAATGTTAGGATGACTTTTGGATTTTGTTTTTATATACAACATGTAGTCTATAAATTAGCTTTCTAGCCAACATAATAATATATGTAAATTCTCTCCATCCTTGGTTGCCTACTTCGTCTCTAACTTTTAACTTCTCTTAACACTATAACTCCATCATAATTCCATAATAATAAAAAGCTCATTTCCTTGTTGTTTTGTAATTGGCATCAGAACTTGCGAAGAGATTTGAAAGTAAGATCAAGCTATGTAAGTATTTCTATCTATGTATACATTTTGATATATATATATATATATATATATAAGTGTGTATGGTGTTCTTAATGATATATAAAAAAAAAAATCAGAAAATATTATTCGTCAAGTTTAGTCTTTAATTGTGTATCCTTTGTAATTTATATCTTCATAATTATTTATTTCATTTATAGTTGTTGTAAAACCTATGCGCTTAGTGTATGTCAAAACCCATATACTCATTAAGATCTTTTGACTATTGGCCATAATTAAGTCTTTAAGATTATAAAGAGAGGTTTTAAGCACCGGATAAATACACTAGGAGGGTCTTAGGTGCCAGTAACAATCTATAATGACAATTAACCCTGAAGATATGATATGTTTTGGAAATACAAAAAATAATGTTAATAATAAATATGACCATAGTTTGCATATTACTAAAGAATCTGCAAATATAAATAGTGTGTGTTTTAGTTTAAATAATATTACTAATATTATGTGTTATTGGTTTTCCAAATTAGATAAAAATCAAAAAATAAATCAAAATTATCTAGAAACCAAAATTGAGTCTATATAATCTAAAATAGACAATTTGGGTTCTATAATAAATATTGACTTAAACAAAGAAGCAAAAAACTAAATAAATAATTTGGCGACAAAATTAGAAACTATATCATTTATAAACAATGATGGAATGAATAGTCCAGGAGATAATTTCATTCTTGGCTATTTTATGATACATAAGATATTATAATACTTCAAACCAATACCTATAATAGGACTGAATATGAAAATATTGTTGAAATATTGGATTATTGGAGAAAATTATATAAAGACACAAATTTAGGTATTGATGAAAAAAATAGGCTACTAGACCCGTGATGACCCGTTTCTTTGCGTGTTGTTTCTTTTTGTCCTTTTTGAGTCTGTGGTGTTCAAGAGTTTTCTTTCAAATTACGGTTCTTGTCTAACTCCGGGTTAAGCGTCACTTGTTTCGGAGGGTGCACGGCCGAGTCCGGAGTGCCTGGGAGCGAACTAGAAAAATTCTGGACTGTTGGGCAAGGGCCGCATGTGCGAGGGATAAGGCCGCATATGCGGGAAGGATGAGCTTTGGAAGGTTGCACACTGCCTATTAAGCAGGTGCGGAGTGAGTTGCAGGAAGGGACCACCGCACGTGCGGGGGTGAAGGCTGCACGTGCGAGAGAGGGCGCTGCACGTGCGAGAGAGGGTGCCGCATGTACGGGCTTCTGGGCAGCCCGAAATCCTCTCTTTTTCCTTTTTTTGGGGCTGATTATATCTCATTTATCCTATATCTCTCTCTCTCTAAAAACACATTTATCTCCATTCTTTCTATATTTCACACCAAAAACACCACAAGATCTTTGATTCCTCCAAATCCATACACATTTTAACCCAAGTTCCTTCATCAAAGAGCAAAGTAAGAACTACATTGTGTGCGGTGGAGATTGAGTTTTGGCACCTTTTGATTCTAGGATTTCTTCTCTCATCTTCTCCAAAACTTGAGGTAGGGGTTTCTTTGAGTTATATATACATGTTTTGCGATATTGATGTTGATTTGAAGGTTTTTTTGAAGTTATTATGTTGGTTTTGATTTTGTGGCCCAAAATGTAGAGATTTTCAAAAGTGGATTTTTTTTTTTTAAAAAAAATTCTCAAATCTTTCTAAGATAGCATCTTGAGGGTTGAAATTACCTTAGGCAAGAAAATGGTGTGTTCTTAAGAGTCCCTTTCAAGTGTTTAGTGTGTGTGTGTGTGTGTGTGTGTGTGTGTGTGTTGTTTGTAAAGAAGAAAACCTAGAAATTTTGGGGGTTTCCTTGAATAAAAGAAGATGAGGGTTTATGGGTGATATTATGTATATATATACATATATATAAATTCATAGTTGTGTGCCATGATAAGTAAAGAAAGTGGAGAGCTTCCTTGTTTTATTACAAATGCATATATATTGATGATGGGTTTCTCTACACATGAGAATTATTGAGAATGAAGATTGTTGTCCAAATTTTGCTATAACTTTGAAATGATGAAAATGGTGGAAGTGCATGGATTGTGGACATGTTATATTTATTGATAGATGGTAGCAAACTTTTGGCTATTTGTGGAATGACATTGAAAGGAGAAAAAAGGAAATTTTGATCATCATAGAATATTTGTTGAAACTATGTTGAAAGTAGAGAAATATGTAGTATAGATAATTATTGCGTTGGCTTCTCTAAAACCTTGCATGTCATGACTTTTGATTGAGAATTGGAACTTTCATTGAAAATGAAATATGGTGAAATGAAATCATGGAAATGTTTAAGGGGTAAATACGTTAGTAAGTCTGGATAGAAGGTGTAGATGTAATTAGTTAAGCTGGCCTGAGTGTCCGGGGTGAAAGACTGAAAACATGCACGGAGGAGGTACCACTTCCCTTCCGGTTAGCAACCGGTAAAGTGGGGTTTTGGTAGTGCTAGTTGAGCCTACTTGCAAACACCAACTTAGGGATTACCTGAGTCGTATTTACCGCCCCTGTTAAATAAAATTGTAAGTTTCAGAATTGTTGAGATTTGAAACTATTGTTGAACATGATGATTTTTAAAAAGAGCAGGTGAATGAAATTCTCTTTAAATTGGCATTGCATGGCATTTGCATTTAATATTGGAAAATCTTGCATAACTGTATATACTTTGTAAGGATTCTCTACTGGGTTTTATGCCCACCCCTATGGGAATTTGGTGCAGGAAAAGATATGGTGATCCCGTCGAGTTGAGGGCGTGGACATATTTTTGTGAAAAATAGATGACTCTATTTTGTTGTAAATTATTTGCTAGCCAAGGGCTTTAAATGTATGGGTTCGTGAAACCATTTTTGTGTAATCAGGCTCAAGCCTTGGAATATGTAAGCCCTTAAGGGCATTTTATTTATTTTGAGATTTGATGCTCTACATGCTATAGATTCATGTGTTTTCATACCGTTGAATGTATAATTCGCATGTAGAACTTTTGTACACACTTTATTGATTAATGATGAAAATGTTGGAGATCTATCTTTATTCCTTAATGAATGTTGGTTAAGGCACCTCATTTGTGTTGGATTATTTCGGGGCGTTACAACTTGGTATCAGAGCTACCGAGTTTGAATACTTGGGGCTCGCGGGAAGTGGTTGTTTTGCCACATTGGGTTCATTTCGCATGATTAGGAAATGTTTTGTTTTTCATGATTATATGGTAGCATGTTTATGTGGCTATATGGGTATGGGATTGGACTTTTGGGATATTATTTGCGCCTATTAAATTCCTTCAGGTCTTATTAGAAGGGTACCTGATCAATACTCGTTCTATTAAGAATTCTTGGTTTTTCATGCGACGAACCTCATCACAAAAGAATAATCCGCATGTGTTTACGTAACTAAGTGTTTATGTGGAGTGAATTAAATTGTTTGTGTGGTAGATCATGTACATAATTGTGGTAGTCTAACGTGTGAGGCAAATTACGGGCACATTTAAATTGTGTGCTAAGTCATTTATTTTGATTCCTAAATTAGGATGTCAAGAAGGAGTCAAACCCTAGGAGGTAGAGGTGAAAGGCGTGGTAGGGGTCGCCGGGGTGTGCATGAGGTACCGGTCTATGAGGTTTCGGTGCAAGAGAAGGGGTTGAGCCAAGCTAATATGGTCGAACAAGTGGGGCAAGTCGAAATACCGGGGCAAGCGGGCCAAACCGCAATGGGGGTCTCAGCCCAAGAAATGACGGAGGCCTTGAGAGAGTCTATGAATATACTAAAGCTGGAGAACCAAGCTAAGGAGAACGCCGTAGAGACGAGAGTGAGTTTCCTCACGAGGGAGTTTTTACAGGCCAAGCCGGATGAGTTCCATGGTGGCCCCGAGCCTAAGAAAGCAGATGAATGGCTCAAACAGAC